GCATCAGTTGGGTTATTAACAGGACTAGTAGGTGTATCATCTAAATCCTGTTGGGTTTCATCTACATCCTCATTTTCCTCATCATTTTCTAAGATAGTTGATTAGGATAAAGAGCATTCATAACTTCTTCATTTAATTGTTGACCTGGTGCAACATTATGGCCAAATTCACTATCAGAAAATTGAAAACAAGGGTTATCACTATCAAGAATAATAGGAGCAGCAGGACGGGTAACAGGTCTGGGTCGGGGAGCCGGGGGAAGGGTAGTAGGTTGACGACTACTTTCACCAATTTTAGCTTTTCCCTTACCACCAAACATTTGTTTCAAAGAGAATGCCATATTAATTACAATTATGCAAACTAAAACACACAAAAATATATTCTTAAAACATAAGAGTTGGAACAAGTTTACCGAATTGCCGAACAACTTCTTGAAAATTGAAAATCGTTGAAGACTTGAAGACTTGAATACTTCAATTAAACAACTTCACAATTTTTCACGAAATTGCAATAATAAAATAAGCAATTATAGAAGAGAAATTAGATATAGATTGAGAGAGATTGAGAGAGATTGATGAATTGGTGAGTAAAAATGAAAGAATGAGGGGGTATTTATAGTTGAGAATTGGGAAAAAGTGTAATTATATAAAGTTTGGGGTTAAAATAAAGTTTGGGGCCAAATGGCTATTTTTTAAAGTGGCCAACGGATAAATTTTGAAGGCCAACGGCTAGATTTTAAAAATCTGACCGTTGGTCTTTTTTTTAAAAAAAAAATTTTAAAAAATAGCTGTTGGAGCCCGTTAGGCCCGGTTGAACCGGCCCAGGCCCGCCTGCCGGTCTAGGGCATAGCGGTCCCGGGCTCGTGGGCTCCTTGAATTGGACCGGCCCGCCACGGGCCTTGTGCACCATTTGGGACCGGCCCACCAGGCCAGTTTAGCCCATTTGGACCGCGGTCCCGGTCCGATCCCGGGCTGGGCCCGGCCCACAGTGCAGCATTAGGTTGAGCCAATGGGACCAGCTCAGGCACCAGTTGTACCCATTGTGATTTCAGCCCTTTAGGAAGCTTTGGCCCAGATATTGACTGTATGCACTAGCCTTGCTCAGGCGGTTTCAATTTCGGTCGCCCCAGCTACTTCTCAGGCTGGGAGAGGTGCACAGACTCCCGTCGTCCGTACGATAGAGAAGGTGGTTTAGGGACTTCAGTCACCGAGGGTACTACCAGCCCAGCTAGTTGTCGCTGCTCAGGCCCAGGTGGAAGAGGCTAGAGAGGTTTGGGAGGCACAAGCCTCCATCTTTCAGTGGGGCTGAGTTAGAGAATGCTCAAGACTTCTTAGACAGGTACCACCAGATTCTTCGCACGGCGGGCATTCTGAAGACTAGTGGAGTCTCATTTACTACTTTTCAGTGGGGGAATTCTCTGCTCTCTTCATGGAGAAGTTTGTCCTACAGATCCGCCGGGAAGAGTTGCGTAGGCAGATTGAGCAGCTACGCCATGAGGGTATGTCTGTGACCCAGTATGAGATGAGATTTTCAGAGTTGGCTCGTCACGCGATCTAGTTTGTTTCCACATAGAGGGAGAGGATTTGGAGGTTCACTTTGTCATGACTCGGGAGATTGCATCAGGTGCTAGGATCAACGAGGTGATTAATATTGCTAGACGGCTAGAGCAGGTCCGTAGTCAGGAGTGTGAGCAGAGAGAGGCCAAGAGGCCTCGTGTTTTGGGTGGTTTCAGTGGGGTTTCTTCTGAAGGGCAGTCCCACCATAGCAGGGGTTGTCCTTTTAGACCCGCTCAGATGACTCATCCGATGCATCGTGGTGCATCAGCTAGCCATGGTTCATACAGTGCTCATCTGGGTCAGTCATCTCTTAGTGCCCTCCCAGCTCAAAGTTCATCTCGTGCTCCATCAGTTGAGGGTCCATCTGTACCCGGTTTTTCTAGTAGCTATTCTAGTTCTCGGAGCCCGATTTAGTCTCCACCACCATTGACGGATCGAAGTTTCTATGAGTGTGGGGAGTTTGGACATATGAGGAGGTATTGTCCTCGTTTCTTAGGAGGTCCAGTTTAGCAAAGGTGTTAGGTTATGACTTCCGCACCAATTACTTCACCACCCACTCAGCCAACTCGGGGTAGGGCTCAGGCAGCTAGAGGTTTCCCTAGAGGGGGAGGCCGATCAGGTGGCGGTCAAGCTTGATGCTATGCTTTCCCTCCAAGCTAGAGGCCGTTGCTTTAGAGGCAGCGATCATAGGTATTGTCTCACTATGTCACAAGGATGCTTCTATATTATTTGTCCATGGTTCCACTTATTGGTATGTATCATCATATTTTTCTCATTATTCAAATATGCCCAATGAGTCCTTAGTTTAACCTGTTCATGTATTTACGTCGGTGGGCGATTATATTGTTATGGACCGTGTGTATCGATCGTGTGTGCTGATCATTTGGGGATTAAAGACTAGAGTTGACCTCTTATTGCTTAGCATGGTTGATTTTGACGTGATTCTAGACATGGAATGGTTGTCCCCCTGTCATGCTATTCTGGATTGCCACGCTAAGACCGTCACGTTAGCGATGCGCCTGTTACCTAGGATCGATTGGAGAGGTTCTCTAGACTATGTTCGCAGCAGGGTGATTTCACATCTAAAGGCCCAACGGATAGTTGGGAAGGGGTGCTTATCATATTTGGCTTTTGTGAGGGATGTTAGTGCTGATACTCCTACTATTGATTCTATTCCGGATAGTGCAAGACTTTCCCGATGTGTTTCCAGCAGACCTGTTAGGCTTGCCACCAGACACGGATATTGATTTTGGCATTGTCTTGGAGCCGAGCACTTAGCCCATTTCTATTCCTCCGTACCATATGGCACCCACTGATACCCAATTTGGTCCTCATATTTTTATAAATATCATATAAACTTTGAAAATATCATTCCTGCATCATCACCAATTTACAAGAGTCATATAAATATTTTCTATAATTTTCCATAATTTATAAAGCTTTAAAATTGATTTTCTTGCATTTAAATTACTTAAATATGTATTAATTACCCCTTTAAGTTATTTTATGATGACTTAATCATCCAAATCTATTATTTGCATCCACATATATGTTTCATAATATTTTTACTTTACTTTATATATTTATATTGGTATTTTTAAGCTATTTACACAATTATGTAATAATAGCCTATATGTTATGCTTAATTGCATTTATTAAATTATTCATGCTAAAATAGTATATTTGTAATATTAAGTTATTATTTTCAATCGTTTTATTGCATAAGTAATATTTTATTGATGAATTATTCTATTTAAACAATTATGTGTATTTGATTCCTAGCCCAATATTAGGCTAATTTTCAGACCAAAAACAGGCCCAAAACATTTGGTCCAGCCCCAGTTCACTCTTCAAAAGCCCAAGACCAAACAACCATCTTCAAAAACCGACCGCGACCCGTCTTTAACCCACCCCTCTCCCTTTCAATCTTGGATGTTGATCCCAAATGATCATCAGCCCAAATTAAGCTCACCCCTTTTCAATATAACCCTCCCTACTAACCCTAGTGACCCATTCCCCGCTTCAGCCACCTCTACTTCGTCTTTACAAACCCTAGTCGTTGTATCTCTACATCCTCTCTGAATCCGGCCCCAATATGGAATCCTTTCGAGATTCTCTTGCCTTATTCTTCTACTACTCACGTGTTCATGGTATTACTAAGTATTTACCTAATTTTGGTAAATGCTACCTTTCAAGACGGGCCTGATTTGGCTCTAATTTTGTGAAGATGAGGCCGATGTTTCATCTATATATACTCTACAACGAATGATTCTTGCATTTCCGACCAGATTCATGGCAAATCCTAATCCAGCCCCCTTGTGTTTCAAGGGTGTTCTCTCTTCAAAGCTCCTTAAATAGTTTCGTACAATTGTGTTGATGTTATCACCAAACACCAACTCACTTCTGAATCTAAGACGCTTGTGCTATTTTTTATACAATGCATCACCAATGTTATTCTTTTCTTCTTCTCTCTACTGATTACATGGTAAACTTTGTTAAGATTACCATGCTTGTTTAGAGTATAACCAAGAGTATGAAGTTGGTATGATCAAAGTATATTATTCTTCCTTGATAATCTGCATTATATACTTGAACTTGGGCTTGACGTATTTTTTCCAGACTGTTGAGAGATTTGCGATCCCATGGGAATTGATCCTTGGAATTGAATCTGTTATGATTCATTCCGAGAATAAGTGTGGTGCTTCTATATATGGTCTATAAGTGACGGTCTTTTCCTTCTTGAAAGAAGATTATCTTAACTGGTCCTTAAATTGTTCCTTGATCCATGGGATTGATAGCTTTCCTTTTCGACGCATATCTTCTGTAATTAGAGCAGTCGCAATTTTAGTCCAGATCTCCTTATATCTTGGTCCTTCCTTCTTATACTCCATCATCCTGGTTGTCGTATCTTTTACATATCGCTTTAATCTTGGGCCATCCTTTCTTGCTCTGTTGACAGATCTTTGCATTCCTCAGTTTACTCATTTCTTCCTTGTCTTCGTTCGTTCATCATCGATAGACTTGCTCGCATCCTTTTTTGCATCTCAACTGATCCTGCAAACAATAATATGTTATTTTTCATCATTGAAATCTAAATCTAACAGGGGAGGGGGAGGGAGGAATTTAAATTGTTTAGTTAGCAAAGATACGTACAATAGATCCTTGTGGTCCGGTCCTTCCGGAACTCCACGCATAACGAGAGCTTAGTAACTAGGCTGCCCTTTTAGTTGGTAAGCATGTTTGATCCCCTCCTCTTTTGAATTTTTTTGCTGATGAACGGAAAGGGCCACGTCACCACAAAGCGTAATTAATATATTTAAAAAGAACTAAGGTAAATTGCATATGTTAAGGAGTGTAATGGAATTGAAAGCTAAAAGAAAGAAGAGAAAGATATATAAAGAAAAAATAAGGCTCAAAGAGAAGGTCAAGCTTTTCTCTCTTGTTCAATAATACACGTTAAACTCCGCCAATAATGCTAAGTAAATAGCGTAGATCTCGCGCGATAGAGCGGTTTGTAAATCACGTCATTGATATGATTCTTCATTTCCTTGGGAGAACGATACTCATCGCGATGTGAATAAACAAAATGAGCCGCTTTGGCTGTCCTCCAAAAAAGATCTTTGCACACTTGAGGTAATTGGTTCCCTTTCCTTGAACAACCATTCGTAGCAGCTTTCTTCTGTTAATTTCCACCATTTCCTTTGCTTGCCTTATAGCCTCTTCTTCAGAGATTGTTCCTGGACTTTGCATCATTAGCACCGACACTAAATTTGATGTTCTCTCTGCTCGTTCTCTCTGCGCAAGAATACGCGAGGGAGAAGATCTATTAATGTCAATATATGATAAACACCTTTTATGCTATGCTAGTAATTAACCAAATAACACCTCTTTTTTAACAGAAGTGTGTCTCGCGCACACCCGAATACTGCAGACGATAAGTGTGAAATACAACCACGAATGACATATAACAACAACAACAACAACATGCTCAGTATTATCCTACATTGTGGAGTTTGGGGAGGATAGTATGTACGCAGACCTTACCCCTATCTTGTGATGATAGAGATGATGTTTCCAATAGACCCTCGGCTCAGGACCACGAAGAAGGAGTGTGAAGAACAAAGTGGAGAAGTAGGTCCACATGGAATAATGTTAAATTTGGAAAAAGTAAAAGAAAAATGTAATTTTAAGGGGGTGCTTGGCTCAATACAAAATTTTGAAAAAGAATTAAGACTTTTGGAATTTGTGGTATTAAATTTATCATGACATAGTGGCTGATCTAGTGTATAACATATATGAGTTCATCAAAACCTGATAACTTTGTCTCGAATTCTGTATAAAAATTCATCAAATAATAAACTTGGCTTGTTGGAAGGATTACCTTGTAACTTTGTAAATCATTAAGTAGCCGCATCAGTGTACCAGCACAATTGCATAAGCCATGAATTTCAGCATCAGCACTACCTAAAAGATCCTTAGGAATTTTTATTCCAACAAAGTATTGTGTTGTGAGAATAACGCATTTAGCCCCAAAAGATACAGAGGTAGCAGACAAATACTCTTCTACGCTTGGCGTTCTATTGCTTGTCCACCACTCAAGTCGTTGTACCAGCATGCACTTCAACACTTCAACCCACTATATATTGTGAGATAAGTTAGTAGTCCTCGTAATCAATAGCGGAGCCAGAAGTCAAGATAATTCAATACATGTAGTATAAATACATTTCTTTTTTACCTAGTGAAGGCGTGTCAATTAACACCCCATGGGCAAAGGTGGCTCCACCGTTGATTATAATTAGAAGCAATAAATCGAAAAATGTAAATAGAGCAAAAAATGTTAGAGAATAGTTCGTGCACTTTCACATACCAAGTTATTAAGGTGATCTTTGACAGATCGACCTTGCCTAATTTCTGCTTTTGCTGCAAGATCCTCCATTGTATTGTAAAAAGCTGAAAAGAAAATTTTAACCCTCTCTGAAAGGAAACCAATACTTTCATATGCATCCCACCTGTAAAAAACAAATACGGATACAGGTCGTGGTAGAGCCAGGAATTTTAGTAAGGGGTTTTAAAGAAAATCACACCTAATATATGAACATATATCAAGGGGATTCAATAGTTTATACATGTATAAAAAAAATTATTTTAACGTTTCTCATGGTATCTTTAAGATCACAAGTTCTAATATTAACTGTTGATATGCTGCAAAAGTCTTTGATTGTTAAAGTCCTTGATAGTCGGTCAAACACCGCCATATAAAATAAAACAGAGGGAGAAATAACAAGGAAAGATAAAACAAATACCTTTCTACTAATTCGATGATGTTGAGCAGTTCATCTTTTAAAGCAAGAACATTGAAAAGATCATCGATCAAAGTCAGGAACATGGTGTATTTTGCATACATAAGACGAGCATCAGAGAATTCATGTTGAAGAGTACAGCTATACTAATTAAGTGAGAACGGTAAATGTACTCTTGTGGCAATCCCACTTGCTCTAATCTGCAATCTTCGTACCACCTATATTCATTCATATATGTAGACAAATGATCGGTTATTGTCAAAGAATGATCAGGATAATACTCCCAGGAGTTAATTTGACTAATTTCTGAAGCTAAATTGAAATAAATCTAACTCAATATTTTAAAATTAAAATTTAGATATTCAAAGGAACAAACGTAGATCAGATCGAGGAGGTGATTGTGAAGATAATTATACAAGATGTTTACTGCAGAGGAAGCGAAGTACCAAGACTAGCAAAGCAGATGGCCAGCCTAAACTTCTACCCATGAAGCAACAAAGCAGAAGGTCGAACCAAGTGCAATAAGATACATGATACTAAATAGTAAGATTTTGAAGGGTAGAGTTAGTAGAGGAGGCTAGAGATGCACACTAAAGTTGGGCTACATGTCCAACTTTAGGATGAAAACATACTTGTACAGAGCATTCAGATAAATAGAAAATTTATAATTACCAAAAAGAAAAATTAAAATTTAGATATTCAAAAACGATACGAAAAGTACTATAAGTAGCAACTTTTTTTTTATGTCAATATGATGCACAAACACATTTTAAAATATTAATCAACGTTCATATAATTCGAATCTCAAGAAGTAAAAAATGCCACTTTGATTAGGACATAGGAAGTAACCAGTAGTGAAGATACCTCTTGAGCTGTTGAAGTTCTTCTTGGTATCTCGCTAGGCCCAAGTCGAAATCGTTTCTTGAGAATATTAACAAGTCTCTATTGTTAATGCTGGGAGACCTAATAATAGAAAAAGACTTTAGTAGAAGATGCACATCCATAATTATTTGATAGGAGCTTAAATAAAGCATAAAAGAATACTGATAAAGAATAATACAAAACAAAACTGACATTACAAAATGATGGTAATAGAGTCATCATACCTATAAGCTGCTTTTAAAATTTTAAAATTGTTCTCTTCATATGACTGGATATATCGTCTATTTTCCACACGATCATATGTGACATAAAATTTCATCAAAGCAAGTTCCACCTAATGTTTTTTAGATTAGTGATGGAATAGTAAAAACTAAACTTCATAAAGAGAAAAAATAGTAATAATAATAATAATAATAATAATAATAATAATAATAATAATAATAATAATAATAATAATAATAATAATGCGTTATTAGATATTTGATTTTTTTTGTTTACACAAGTAATACCTCCTTTTTTGACTTCGTGTCAAGGAAGTCATTATTTAAGAGTTTTTGCTCCATAAATATTCCTGTCCAATAGCTAATTTTATCCAAAATGTGATCTTTCTCATCTACAGCCAACTGTGAAGCTTTGTGGAGCTCACAAATTGCAACATGACTTTTAAGTTTCCCATTTGTTGCAAAGAAATATTCTTCATCGACAAATTCTGCAAGTTCTTCTGCAAAGTATTTTTTTTTATATTCTTAGGTTTCGTACAGTCAAACTAAGACATATAAAATGAATCGAACTGAATAACAAACCTGAGGAGACTTCATAGTTACTCATCCGTAAAAGTCGAAATGCCATTGCACAATGCGCAATGTTTGAAAAAATTTCTTCGTTCTTTTGTTGCCAAAGCCTATAAATGATCATCCATCACAACCGGAGGCTTAAAAATAGTTTACATTATAGGGTGTGTTTGGAACAAAGGAAAATGTTTTTCTGAAAAATATTTTCCTGAAAAATGAGTGGTTTATCAGTTATTTTTCTTTGTTGGTTCGTGAGTGGGAAAAAAAAATTCGAAAAATATTTTCTAATATTCATTAGTGAGTAGAAAATATTTTTTAGGAAAATAATTTTTTATGACTACTCTTCTCACCCCCTTTCCCCCCCCCCCCCCCCGAACTACCCACTGTTACCTTGCTCCCCACTCCTCCCTCCCTCCCGTCCTACAAAAAAAAAAAAACTTAA